AAATGGATGTTTGTATCAAGCTTAAAGTAGGACATCTGGACCAGTTCTTCAATACCTGGTTTGGAAGTCAGCCCTTTGTTTTGGCTGTTTGTCATACTTTGATACATGCCATATTTAATTTATAGAAAACAATATTCTTTTTAACTGTGCCGTTGTTTTACATTTTGTCACAGTTCTTTAGGCTGCCTCGACTAGAATTTTCAAAGGTTCAGTACTTTAAGTCACTCAAGAAAGTCTGATATAGTTACTGGTAATTAAAATGAGTGCTGTCTCTTGTACACTAAATTGAGTAGGTCAGTTGAAATCTGTTCTTAAAGATCATTTTACAAGCTTGATATCCACAGGTACTTTCTTTCTCTTTTGGGATCCAAGTGTTGTGGTTTTTCTGTGCTGATCTTTACAAACAGAACAGTCTTGGGGTGAGTTGTCTTCCACCATGGATAGTAAAGCTGGAAGCAATATATTGAAGGACTGACAGGTGTGATAAGGACCTGTCCAAAACAGTTTGCACCTTGGTGATGTATTGCAACTCACTTGTATCATGTAGAACTGGAAGGGCAAAGGAATGCAGAGGGAAGAGTGTGAAGTAAGCTGTGTACAAAACCTGCAAGTTTAAGGGACTTCAGGCAATAGACATAAAGCTTCTTGTTATTGTAAACAGTTTACACTCACAACACTTAACAGAGCACATAGCAGTGTTGAAATTTTTAAGAGAAACATAGAAAATATATGAAGGAAGGAAGAAAATAATTTAATTACTTGGGCATATTAAAGATAGAAGTCAGTTGTCCTTCAGGGTGTGTGGGTTTTTTTCCTTGGTTGACTCTGAAGTGGGAATCTGTTTCTTTTTCACATATACTAACCTGTTTTCCATTCCTGCATTGCTTTGCAAACCCTTTTATTTAATTTTTTTTTGGTGTTTAGGTAGGACAGTGCTAACTAGCAGAAGGCATACACTAAAATACAAGCAATTATTGAGCAGTCATCTTGTAAGTGTCTAATATGACAGGAAACATGAGCAGTGAAATGGAATCAATCCCCCAGAAAAGCATATGAGCAATACAGTGAAATGTTGCAGTGAAGTTCAGGAATGTATGAAGCTTTTGGTATCTGCTTTCCTGATTTCATTCCTTGTCAGGTTGTTGCTTCGGAATGGTTAAATACTCATATATTTAATGTAAATCATCAGTAAACTATATATATATAACCTTCTATGGTAAATTTGCACCAGTAAACCAAGTAATATGGTTTTGATTAAACTACGATGTTAAGTGGTCGTCTTAAAGAAGATTTGTATTTTTCAAATTACATGGTTTTGTTACTAAATTAGTTTTGCCTTATGAATATTCATAATCTACTCCTTAACAGTCTCAAACAGCTTATGCATAAGAATTAGGTATGTCATTTTCGAGCAAAAAACTGTTAAGTATTCAGAAATTTTGAGGAAATGAATGTTCTTTAAATAGCTAAACAGTGATTTCTGCTGCTTGTGATGCTTAGGGTACAGCTGCACAAACAAAAGCTCCCCTGACTGGAGTTTGAATTTGCAGTGTGCCAGTTACTTAAGAGGAACTTCTACACTAAAAACTTGACATTAGAAGGTTTGAAGTATCATCTGTGCCTCACTGAGAAATAAGCTACTGCCTTTACAGAGAGTTAGAGCATCCAAACAAGAAGTTGCTGCTGAGTAAGTAACAGGCCTTAAACTACCAGCAGCACCTACCTGGTGTAGTTGAATGAACCAACTATGAGATTTACTCTGTCAGTTTAATACTCTTTGGGAGAAATCCTAGCATGTAGTTCTCTGTGGTTGAACTTGCCTTGTGAACAGAGCTCGTATCTAAGTCAGTGTTCTGTCACAGGAGAAACTTATGCCTCTTTCTGAATGCTTTTGAAAAATATGAATTTTTATATCCAAGGTTAGCAAGTCAAAGGAAAATATTAACAAAATTATCCTGTTAATGACTCCCTTATTGGCAGCAGGTTTTTTCTTGTCTAACATCAGAGCTCTGTACTTCTCGGGTTTTTTCCCCCATCTTAATAGTTTCTCTTTACAAGCCTCTTAAGAAATGTGGGGGTGAAATATCAGCTCTGTACTTCTCGGTTTTTTTTCCCCATCTTAATAGTTTCTCTTGACAAACCTCTTAAGAAATGTGGGGGTGAAATATTGATCAGAATTTCTTTTGGTATGTTGTCTGCAGTTTTTGCACAGTAGGAGGTGATGAGTAGGTCACTAATAATCATAACAAGAGAAGAGATGTAAATCAGCTCCAAAGTGTGGATGTTATGCCTTCAGTAGGTGACAGCTTAGCTTCTGTACTAGGGTGCCAAATTATCAGGAGCTGTGAGCTGAGGGAGGTTAATTCCTGAAATGATCACAGTCTAAGGCACCAATTCACACACCTAAAACCTGTGACCTCCATTATTTATTGATTGGCAGAATTTGGTCTTAAAAATGGAATGGGCATGGAAGTGGTATCTGTCTTCTGTATCATTTAAATTAATTTATTTCCTACCATCAATCAGACATTTTTATGTGACTTTTTTTTTTTTTAAAACTGTGTTATGATTTTTGGGGTGTTGTTTTTGTTTCATTTGCCATGTTCTCAGAGCTTTGCTTTTTAGTTTTGGGCTTTTCCACTAAGTTTCCCATTCATCACTGTAGGGAAGGCAGTTCAGAGGAAGGTGTGGAAAAACTCCCAAACACATAATTTGCTAGTTATTTTGTTAGATTATTCGATATATATTGTGGTGCTCTATGGGCACTTTGGTGATGAGAGAGAAATCTCAAGCTCAAGTCATGTAGAAACCAAAGCAAGGCTTTGGTTATATTTCTTTACAAGGGTTTCCAAAATCTCTGGGACTTCTGAAGCAGCTGCTGGTTCCCTCCCTTAGCTGCTGTCTGCAGGGTCTGTTTGAGCCATGGGAGGCACTGGATAAGTGGAAGAGGAGGCAGAAAAGTTGCACAACTGATTCTGTAGGGGTGGAAAGAGGAATGAACGTGTGGGACTGCAGACAGTGAGAGTTATGCATCCATGCAAACTGAATTGGATTTAGAAACTTGAAACTTTGCATTGGAGGAAGTGATGTTTCTTTAGCTTGATTTTCCTTCAGTCTCCTAAAGTGCTGTGAATTTAAGGAAGTGTTATGGGGGAATTCTTGTGATTTCTTCAGAATGTCTAACTAGTGCATTACAGAAACAGCCTTTTGACACAGAAAATGGCATTTTTCTGTAGAAAGAGGTGCAAAAAACCCTTTTCTTGGGGAGTGGAAGTTAAAAGAAGGGTGCTGGTTCTCAGCTGCAAGGCTTCTCTCAACAATACTCAGCCTTTCCTGCTGCTCTTCCTTTAGAGTGTTGTGGTATTTCCATTTTTATCATTTTCTGAGCAATTATTGTGAAAGGACATTGGCAATAACACCTTTTCTCAGGTGCTAAAAAAGTAAGTCTTAAAATAACAGGTACTGACTCAACTGCCCTACATAAATGTTGGTATTTTAATAATCAGAAAAGAGTACAGCAAAACTGGGAATTAATCCATTTCTTGCAGTGCAGGGTTAAATTCCTACACTAAAGATTAATGGGAAGTTGCCTGTACAAAAGCTGAACACTGTAGCCAGTGTCAGCTCCAGCCTATTGTAACTTACCATGGGTGGCTCTCACTGAAGAGAGGTTTGGAGGAAAGTTGTGTTTTCTAAGGGCTTGTCAAGGGATCTTCTGTTCCTGCTTCACAGATCTTAATCTTCCTGTACTTGATCTTCATGTACTTGAGATAAAGAGTTTTAACTTTCATGATGGAAACTTAAAAGCAGTTCTTCTAAGTGTTATTTAAATCATGGAACTTGAGCCTGCTCATTAGCTCTCTTTTTAAAATTTTTGAATTGCAAAACATACTGTTATTTATGCATGACCATAGAAATGTGATCATGCCATGTTGGAGTCCTTTCCATCAGGTTTTGCCCTGAATGGGATCTCTGACCTTTCTGAGCATCTCATGGTTGTAGGATACACTTCACATAGTGTTTAAGTAATTTTCAGATAAAATTCATGGTTTCATGTTAAAAGGTTTTCTGTCAGCTCTGCAAACAGAAGTGGCTGGAATATATAGCAACCTTTTACAGTGTTAGTAATACGTGTTTTGTTCAGTGAGGTAACTGAGAACAGGATTTGTTCCTGCAGGAATTCAGTGTTGCTTTGGAACCAGACGTGTGTGACCTCACTGTTTTCTTTCGTGGTGTGTTGACTCTGCAGAGTTAACAAGAATAAACAGTAGTGCAGGTCTTTTGTGTGTTACATTAAGGTAATTGGATAAGGCATGAGCAGAACTAATTATCATGAGAGTGCTATTTCTGGGCACTAAAACTCCTCAAGGCAGGAATAAATGCATTGCCTTGGTCCTGGTTTTCCATCCAGAGCATAAGCAGACCTTGTTTGGGAATTTCTACAGCCAATTGCTTGCATTTATGGTACTAACCCTTGGTGAAAGTGATAGTAGGTAAAATGAAAGAATATTCTAAATAGAAAAGTTTGATTTCAATCTAGAAAAAAAAAACCAACTTATGGTTGGCATTTGGTGGTTAAAATGTAAACCTGTAAAAGCGTTTTCCATCCAGAGCATAAGCAGACCTTGTTTGGGAATTTCTACAGCCAATTGCTTGCATTTATGGTACTAACCCTTGGTGAAAGTGATAGTAGGTAAAATGAAAGAATATTCTAAATAGAAAAGTTTGATTTCAATCTAGAAAAAAAAAACCAACTTATGGTTGGCATTTGGTGGTTAAAATGTAAACCTGTAAAAGCTTTTGAGGTTGTCTTTCCTCCTCAAGTCTAAACCAGAATCTGTAAAGAGTTTGGAATATTTTCTCTATTTTCTTTCTTCTCTTTAATGGAAGCATATTGCCCTCATTTTCATGATACCCTGTGTAGCTCTGTGTACCTTTGATAAACCCACATCCCTGACAAGCAGTTCAGCTGGTAATGTTGCCTCTTCTTCTTTTCAAAGGAAGGTGCATCTGCTCGAAAAACACAGACTCCTGCAGCACAGCCTGTGCCACGACCAGGTAAGGTGGCCTAGTGCCATTTGTGCTTCTGTTCCTGTTCAAACAAGTGCTGTTGAAAAACTTCAGCTAGCTAAAGGATGAAGTGGGGATGGATTGTTTGTGGCTTTTAACTATGCATGTATTGGGAAAAAATTCATTACCTTTTGTTTAGTGTTATGCCATGGGACTGAGGTTCATTCTCTTCAGTGTGTTGTGCAGTTAGCCCACTGAAAGGTGCACTAGGGAAATTAAAAAGTTGTGAAGTTCCTGGTTTTGGGCTTGGTATTTCACAAATTCTTGTTCCAGTGTTTAATAAGTGCTGGTTAGTACTCCATTGGGTTTGGGCTTGGTATTTCACAAATTCCTGTTCCAATGTTTAATAAGTGCTGGTTAGTACTCCAGGGAGAAACAATCTAAACAGAATAGCTAATCTGAAAAAGAGATCTATTATTCCATTTATGATTAATACATCAGAAATAAGTAATTACCTGAAATGTGTAGTCATTACTTCTTCACAGTTGTCAGGTGTTTGTAATGGGGCCAGAATCCTCAACTGGCTTTTCAATTCCCAGTTAGTAGATTTTGGCTACCAAGTCCATTTGTCTGTCAGATTGAATCTCCAACTGTGATTCAGTGATGGAATGAATGATAAAGGCATTTTGTTTGAGGAAGACACCGTTAGGATGAGTTTTTAGAAGAGTGTAAGAGCACAGCTAGTACATGAGAGGAACAGTGTGTCCAAACAGGAATGTGCAGATCTGACCTGCTTTACATACTTTGAGACTTGCTAGTTTGGTGGCAGAAAGTCTCAAGTGAAAGGTGTTATTTGAGAACAAGTTGGTGTTAGGAAGGCAGTGGGGATGTTTGGGGAGTTTTGGAAGCAAAGCTATTGTAAAAATGAATGTACTTTTTCTAGAAGTATTGCTGGAATACTGCATATCTTGTTGAGACTCTAAATGCTTTCAGTGTGTGCCTTGCTAATTCCTAGAGATTTATTAGCAGGATTTAGTGCTAAGACTTAATATTGTAAAGCTGATTCTTCCCCAAAAAATCTATTCTCATATTGAATGTTCTCAGCATACCTAAATGCTGTTGTGCACAGATTCTTCTGTTTGGTTATTTTGGTACTAGAAAGGTCATGCTGCCTGTCACACTTATCTCACTAGGCCCGTTAAGCATCATAATGCAAATAGAGTTGACAGACAGCAGTATGAAAAGGGTAGAAGTGGCAGGAACAGAAATCTGACTGAGTTGTCACAGTCCCTGCTGCTAGCTGTGACTTCATGGATATTTACTGGCAGAAGTGTGGCTTTTTTACATTATATAGGTTATACTGATATTGCCCTTCTCAAAGGCCAATCCTATCCGTTATCTTGCCTCTGTATTGTAAGTTGCAGAGAGAATAAAGAAGTGAGGTATAGTCAGAAGAGGCTTATCTTGGAGTTTGGAACTTCTAAAAATTCAGCTGTTCTATTCTTAGCAGTCAATGTAACTAAACCATGCTGTTTCCAGGAGGATGCTTTGCACATGAGGAGTGTTAGTGAATTGGACTAAGCAGTTGTACAATAGTGATTTGAAGGAAAAAAGTTGTCTCAGATGTGTTTTTAATTTAAGATTACTTTTTTAGCACCATTTTGCATTACCAACTTTTCTATTAACCTGTCTTGGTACAACTATCAAATTTCTTACAGATGCTTATTCCTCCTCCCTCCCTTCTTTTTTTTTTTTTTTCTTCCTTAGGGCAGCTGACACTGCCCAAATATTTCAGGAACACTTTTACGTTAAGAAGATACCCTGATTGAAAAAAAAATAATTTAAAAAACACTGGGTAGGGAAGGTTCATGTTATATTTCAGGAACACTTTTACATTAAGAAGATACCTAGATTGAAAAAAAATAATTTTAAAAACACTGGGTAGGGAAGGTTCATGTAGTTCAATATAGTGTTGCCAATTATATCTGTGCATTTGACAGTGTCAGGAAAAGATAATTAAGGATATGGTCTCAATATTTCAACAATGGCATCTATGTGTTGTGAATATTTATACTGTTCTGGGAAGTTCCTGAAACAGTTGGTCATAAATAAACATGAGCAAGTTGGAGCTATGCAATTGGAAGTCAATTAATGAAGTTTGTTATGCATAGTAGCAGTTGAGACTGGAGTTAGTCTGCGTCAATCTTTCTACTAGTGACCATTTTCTGATTTTTCTGAATGATGATAAGCATATATGATGATGACTATCAAGCTCAACAGTTCTTTCCTTAATTTAGGACCCCAAAAACTGAGCTCTAAAATGTTTATTTGAGGGAAGCAGGTAATTCAGGAAGAGCACCAAAGTGAAGGAACATGTGCTTCTCCAACTTTGGAATGAAGCTCTTTCATAGTGAGGCACTCATAACAACTTGGAAGACTGAAGTGAAAACATTTTACTGGGGAATTCTTTGATTTCTATCTGTCCAGTAGTGTTTGCTTGTGAATGTGTTTGGTGGGTGAGGATTGGTTTTCTTGAGGGTTTTTTGGGGGGGGAACAGGTGTTTGCTTTTTCCCCCCTTCTTGAGTGCCACCATATCTGTCAAGTTTGGCTGTTTGTTTCGGGAGCCCAAAGTACTCATGTAACTCAAAGTGCAATCCAAGGAATTCTTTGATTTCTATCTGTCCAGTAGTGTTTGCTTGTGAATGTGTTTGGTGGGTGAGGATTGGTTTTCTTGAGGGTTTTTTGGGGGGGGAACAGGTGTTTGCTTTTTCCCCCCTTCTTGAGTGCCACCATATCTGTCAAGTTTGGCTGTTTGTTTCGGGAGCCCAAAGTACTCATGTAACTCAAAGTGCAATCCAAAACCAGAGTAAGGAACCCAAAGAACTCATGTAACTCAAAGTGCAATCCAAAAATTAACCAGAGTAAACCTGAAATACAGATTTTGATTGATGAAAGTTCTGTATGTGTTAGGGATAGGTAACTCCCACAGATGTCATGTACACTAATAACTACTAATGGAAAGGTGAGGGGCTGTAAATACCAGTTTGCTGTGAAACAAGTTTCCTGTTGGTTCATCACTATTGAACTTAAGGTCTGTATGCAGCTTGTTTCAAGATACCTGGCAAGTTTTGTCAATGCTGTTCTGCCCTGACCTTTTGTGGAGGATGGAGGGGGTGACTATCTTCAATAAAAGTAGCAGAGATTGACTCATCTGTCCTAACATCTGTTTCAGATGGAATACTCAGACCCAAATTATTAATCCTTTCTTCAGCTTCTGCATCTGTGAAAGTGCTCTAATGACTGTAGTGTGACTCTTCCTGTTCACTCCTGCAACTAAACACCTTCGAGTGTTGCCTTTCACTGACATTTGTATTATGGCTTAGTCATTCTGCTGTATTTTCTTTTTTTTTTCTCAGTTTCTCAAGCCAGACCACCTCCAAACCAGAAAAAAGGTGAGTCACTTTTAGTTACACAATCTTTTTCATGTTTGTGTGGATTGTGCCCACTCTTTTAAACTATTCTTTTTTCTGGAACCACAACAACAATATAAACAAGCAGTGGAATGCAGGCAGCATTCTGTTTGTAACTGTGTTTAGAAACTCATGATACAGGGGGATGCTTTTTTATGAATGAAAGCCTTGAGTTTAGAAAGGATTTACTACAATTTTCCTTGCATATTTTTCGATGGTTGTGACCTGTTAGGCAAGAGTTTTGTTTTTATGTACAGTTCCTTGTATGAAAAAATTGGAAGGGGGGGAAGCAACAACCGAAACACAGTTTAAAAAACCCTCAGGCAAGTCTAATTTTATTATCTCTACAGGCTCTCGAACTCCCATAATCATTATTCCAGCAGCCACGACCTCGTTAATAACAATGCTTAATGCAAAGGACCTTCTGCAGGATCTGAAGTAAGTAGCTGATTAGAACCTGCTGTATTACAAATTGTTTTCAGATCTAAAGCTATACTAGTACCAAATTAGTAATTAAGCAAGAGGATTCCTCTACTCTCTTGTGACAAGCTACTTTTGTAGACCAGAGTGTGTAAGAAACTAATCCCTCTTGACTACTAGGAAAACAGCAAAACCTTATTTTCAGAGTTTTGGCAGAGTTGTGACCTGTGGGCCAAGTGAGCAGATTGAGGAGTGTCTTACAGTACCAGGTCTAATGTCTGCTGTGATTTTCTTTGAAGTAACACATGTGCAACTGGTCAGTGAGCCCTTAAAATGGAAGAAGGCTTAGATAAGATGAGCAAGGGCAATGTGCTCATGGAGCTCAGAAGACATTTGAGGAGATGTGGCCACAAGGGGAAGGTGACTGGAGAGACTGTGTCAGGCTATATCAGCCAAGCAGCTCAGGTGGTTGTGCAAATAAAGAAATTTTTATGAAGGTTCACATATTGTCATTAAGCACTGAAGCAAAATCATCCAGGGAAAGATCAGTGAGTTGCTAAAATTTGTTTATTCATCACACATCTGATTCTGAGATTTAATTCATTATGGCTGAACGAATCTTTCTGCTTGCCCAGCAGATCATGGTATTTAGACTTGCCTATCAGTAAATACCAGTTAATTTTTCTGAAACAGTCATTTTCACAAGGATATACACTGTTGTAGATTGTATGCAATGGTATGTTCAAAACACAGAGTGTGAGGCTATACACTGTTGTAGATTGTCTGCAATGGTATGTTCAAAACACAGAGTGCTGGAGGTCTTTAATCACCTCCAGCACTCATCTTTTCTGAGGCTGTACACTGCTCTTCTCCAAAACCAGCCTGTCCTCTTGTGGTGCTGCAGTTTCTGCTGGACTTGCCCTACATTTTTTTAAAACTGTGCTGTGAGATACCAAGTGCCTTCTGATCTCTCAGCTAATTCCAGTTCCTGTCTTACTGCCACATATCATCAAAGATCCAGCAAGGTCCTGGGCTCTTGGTGACTCTTCTGAAACACTTCATCAGAAAGGAACTGGCTTTTAACATTATGGTTTAATGTGCATGCAGTCACTGGGCTGACATAATTGGGGTGACAGAGGACATTGCTTGTTTATGTGGGGTTTGTGTTTAAGAAAAAAATTCACAACAAACCCTGGATTTTACATCTATGTCATTTGTGGCTTCTTGGTATAGGAATACCAAGAAAGGAATAAAGCACCTGTATGTCAGTTTTCAACTGTTTCCAGCTCCATCAGGGCAGAGTTGCAGTTAAGTTCTCAAGCTCTGTCCCAAGAGGATGCTGATATTCAGAGTGCAGTGAACATGATCCAGAAAAAAAAATGCAATGAAGTTGAAGGGTTCAAAAGAGGACACTGATGTTGTTAACTGGCGTGAAAGAGAAAGGGTTGAAGCAAGGTATGTTAATGAATCAGAAATGCAATTGCAGAATTCAGAAGAGCAAAATATTAATTTAGCCATGACAGTTCTAGCACTCTTCCAGAAAATATGCCACCTGGCCTGTATTTTTTGCATTCAGATTTATTGAAGTACTTTGCTTAGGAATGGCTGCAGGGTTTGTTTTTACTGCTCAGGTATGCAGAATGTAGAACTAGCCTTGATGTTGAGTGTGATTGATAGATATGTGATGGTTTTCCAAGGAAAGAAGACTTAACTAATTTCTGCCTCTAAGTCACTGCCTTCTTTAACTCATTCCCCACTTACAGCTAAATTTGACAGAAGAGCAGAGATTTCAAAGATTCCTGTCATTGCCACAAGTTTTGGAATAAAGAAGTATTTTCCAGATAGGAAAGACACCTAAATTAATCCTCCCTCCCTTAGCCCTGCTGAGGAAGATGCAGGTAGATTTGCATTTCTGGTATTTCTAGAGGTAGTCAGCCTGCTTGGATTAGAGGAGATTGGTGATACTGCAGAAATAGAAGAGATTTTTGGAGGTGGAGAAAGGTAAAGAGCCTTTGCAGGGAGGACTGCCAAGAAATGTAGGAGAACCCTGGGAGAATGATGCCCCCAGGATGGTTAGGGTATGGAAGCTGTTTATAGGGCAAGTTTTTATTCCATGGCTGATTCCTGAGGCAGCACAGTTCTGTACTGTCTGTGATGATGTAGAATGAGTATTTGGGTTTCATAAATAAAGCAAATTTTGTGATTCTGTCCATTTAAATTATTCTTAAAATGAGGAAAAAAATTAGCTGAAATGATTATTAGAGATTAAACCTCTTAAAATCAAACCTTAGACTCCTAGCTGGGAATCTCTGTGTTTTAGGATAGTTTTTGTTTACAATGCTAGATTGTAAGTAAGTGGCGTGCAATGCATTGTCCCTTTGGACATGAGAAAAAGTAATTGCAGGATCATTGGCATTTTAGGTTGGTGGTTGCAAAATAAACAAGAGAGTCTTCATCCAGTACTGGGGTAGCCCTTACACTCAGTTGTCAAGGACTGAAAGAAATGTGTTAATTATACTAACTCTTTTAGTAATCCTTTTCAAACCTCCTTAGCATATTAGAGGTTTTTTCCCATGCCCAATTTGTCTGACATTAGTGTGATGCTTAGCATCTTTAATTCATCACTCAGGTTATGCTCTCTCTTAAGGCAGAGAATATGGAAGGCAGGAAACCTGTCATGAGGAGAATGAAATATATACAATGACAAACTCAAAGCATGGTAATGGTTTAAGATTTCAGTTTTTTTAAGAGATAGATTTTGTGTGTTCAGTATATTTGTTGCAACTTAGATTTTGCAGGAGGACATTTCTGTATATAATTATGATGATATAATTCATGGGGTAAATAATATACAAATATTCTTGAGAACCTTTTCTGAAAGGTTATTTTTCGAAGGAGCCAAGTACAACATAAAATGAAGAGATTCTGAAATATTAAAAAGATACAATTTAAAATCAGAACTGCAATATGTATGGTATATTGTGAAGCTTCTTAGAAATATTTTATATCATGCACTTTATTCTTATTCACTCTTTGAATGCAGCACTGGATATCATAATTGTGTGAAATTTGGCTTTCGAGGCTAAGTATTTGAGAATATCTCAAGTTAGGCTTTTCAGAGACAAAGCTTCTGCTTTACGTGGAACAAAAGTGAAGCAGAAATTAAATCAGGCAGATGTAAATGATTAGGTGATGATTATGTACTTTTATTATGATGATGCTTTTACTCCTGATAGGTTTCACCATATGTGCCCAGGGAACTCATGGAGCTTTATCCAGCTTTGATATTGAGCAGAGAATCTGGGATAGGTTCAGGGATGATGTATTACCAAAAAAAAAAAAAAAAAAAAAGGAACATGTCTCCTGCAAAAATAGGGGTATAAAGCTTTTGATACTGTAATATAACAGAAATGCTTAGAGGGTTGTAAAAATAAGTCTCCAGTTCTGAACACAATCAAATGTGCATTAGGCTGAGCTCAGTTACTGTCCAGCATCAGAGCTGCCTCATTCCCTGTCCATGTGTTTTTCAGTGTGCCCAAGTTGGGGGCCAGAAAGTGATCTGACCTCAGTGCAAGTGTTTGGAAGTTAATGCTAGTGATGTATGTGAGTTTAGAGCCCAGGCATGAGCAGCTCAGGCAGTGCAGTGAATAGTATCTTACCTGTTACCTCCCACAATTTGATCTTGTTCACTCTCTTGTCCCTTACCTTAGGAAAGGGACCTGATACCTTTGGAGAGTGAGAATGCATCTGTTCTGATGTGGGTAATGATTCTGGCAATTAACAGCAGGAGAATTGAGTGCCATTAATTTCCTAATAGGGGTATAAAAGTGCATTCTAACTAGATATGGATTTATTTTTATTTTTTTTTACTAGGGAATAGTAATCTGGAGAAGCAGTAAGAAACTGTAAGGTCCTGCACAGTCAGGTTTCAGAACACATTTCTAGTGTATTAGATGATTAAAAAGGTGTCAAAGTGCAAATGTGTGTTTAAGCCACCAGCTACAGTACTATATAATAATCCTATAAATAATTTCCAAGAGAAGCTGAGGGTTTTGCTATTTAATACTAATAATAATTTCTTAAGCTCGTGTTTTATGTCCAGGTAGTGATGGCATTGGCCATGGTTATATTTATAATCATACAGTAATTTCTATTGATTCTCAATTCTTGAGCACATGACTTCTCTTACACTTACTGAATTGATGGTTCCTGGAAATGCAAGCACATATTTCATAAACTCTGTGTAAGCTGTCATTAATTCCTGTGCTTTGTGTGTAAGTGCTTGCTTCAGTGCTTTATGACAGTCATCTTCTGTACTGTTCCATGTGGATCTACTCACTGATGTCTTTTTCTTCAGAAAATTCAGATAACAATGGATTCTGTGTTGTGTCCTAAAGAAGTTCATTCAAAAACATTCAGATTTTTTTGCAGGAAATACAAATGAAGCTATTGTTGAGAAGCTACATAACTGAGGCACCACCTTGATGGCTCTAGCACAGTTTCTAGATAGAGAGAAATTGCCAGTAAACTAGTGTTGAAATGAATTCTTAAACACAAGCATTAAAAGCTAGAAGTAGAATCCAGAATTCCTGTTTCAGCCAGATTTGGGTGGTCTCAAATGTAGTGGTGAAATTGCTGAACACTGTAGAGTAGCAATATTGCTTCTTTCTCATTTGGTAGGGGTGACTACCTTTCATGTTTCCATCTAAAATGTGTTTGCTTCCTCACATTTACAAATTAAATTAAAAATGTGACCTTTTAGATCCTTGTGCATATGAATGTTTAATTATAGCTGTAATGCATATAGGGCTCTTTGGATTTTATTTACATATTCTATAAGAGTTTGTTCTCTCTCAGTGCATGGGACACATAATAACAGAATTCTTCTCAAGCCATCCACCACTTTAGGAGATCCTGGCTTTTTATACAAACCCTGCCACTTGGGTCAAAGGGGTTTGGTTGTTTCTCTAAATTTTGTAATTTTTTTTTAAAAAAAGCATTTTATTTTCATTCTTTCCAGCCCAGATTCCTTTAGTTTTGATGGGTGATGACTCAATAGTTTTCATAAAAGCTGAATACTGCCAAGCAAATCCTCATTTTCAGTTATGATATAGAGTTTCCTATCAGTCAGTGTTGGTGAAGCAAAGCCTCCAACCTGTTGGCAGGGCAGGCCATTAGGTATGCTCACAATTAAAGGTGCTCCTTGCTTTTGAGTTTTTAAATGAGCAGCTTGATTAGAAACACTCAAGTTCTGGTGTCACGTTTGGTAGCTTTGTTCCAAAGCAGAACTGTGTTGGACACTTCTTTGTGCAGCATGCAATGGGGTGTGTCAGTCTGTTGTGACAGATACAAGATATGTAAATATTAAATGTTTTCTAATTCAGTTACTGGGGAAATTATTATCCTGAGTTTTAAAAAAGAACATTCTAGGTGGTCTAAATGTACTTTTCCCCAGTGTCCTATATAGCTCTTTTGTCTGTATTTTCCTTTAGTATAATGTTTCACATGGGCTAGACAGATAAGCATCATTTAATTTCCAGCTCATCATTTAACACCTGTAATGCTTTTCCTGGATTTGCAGTACTAGTCAGCCTTAGTCTCACCATAGGCATTTGCAGGTGTTGGGCTATTTTTAATTCTCCAGTGCATTTGTATTAGTTGCATCCATTGGGTTGTACACTTGGGAAATTGCTTATGACTTTGTTTCTGAAACACTGTTAAGTCAGGAAGAGTATAAAGGGCTTCATCTGTTAATTTACATTAGGAAGGTAATATTATTTTACTTGAAGGTTTATTAACAATTTTCACCTGCTACCTTAAAACTTGGTTGGTTGGGGGTTTTTTCCCCCCAAAATGCCATTTTCTCATAGTGAAAACTAGTATTTTCAAGTTGACTGAAAAATGAGCTGTGCCTCCTATTCATTTTTCATTCCTTTTTCCTGTTTATCCAGCAATAGGAAGTGCAGTCTGCATGTTAAAGCACATTCAAATTGGGTGTTAGTATTCAAATAGAAATAGATTGAAGAGAACAAATAGAAATGGTGCAAACAACTTACCCAAAATACATAGTAAACTGCTCAAAAGCACCATGTGTGCTGTAATGAAGAGAAATATTACCAATTATGTTCTGTGCTTTTAAAATGTAGCACCAATGCTCATGATAACTACTGCAGTTAAGTGAAACAGAGGGTTTTATTTTTATCAGAAGCTTTGGAAATGAAATGTCAGCAGCAAACAGAGTGCAGCTGGGTGATTCTGAGCAGAGGATTAGGAGAACATGGCTCTGAACTCTGCTCTTTTGTTGGCCTGATGGGTGATACTGGTCACACCAACTCTGCTTTCCATGACATCTTTTTCCATTTAGGTCTATAAAACACTTGATTGTTACCTTTCTTTTGACAAAATCCACTGACAGGTATCAGTAAAAAGGCCTACACTACTCTCACATTTATGATGTCAATTTTGAGACCTGTTCTGGGTATTTTATTATCACCATAAAGAAGAGAGCCTTGAAATGGAATTGCAGTTGTTTTTTAAGGTGAGGGGCTGAAAGGTAAAAGATCTGTAATTAATTGGAGGGGGTGTATGTGTCACATCTTCAGCATTTATTTTTGCCATATGGAGATCACATATGGCATGAGGTCATCTGTATTTTCTGAGCACTTTTTCTATCAGAGAAGCTATTTAGAAGAAAAATAACTCCAAAATAATTGTAGTATCATACATGATAGTAACCAGATGAATCACTGATAATGTGAAATCACCATCCTAAAGAAAACAATCAACCCTCCCTCAAAAACCTTTTTGACCAAAAATCCCAGATTTCTTAAGAAAACATGATTCTGATGGCTCCAAGAGCTCTTAAAGCTTGTTCCAGGAAGAAATTGCTTTACTGCGCAGGCTTCCCCATGTTACCCTTGATCATGAAAAATGATGAGTTAGAGTCACTAAAGCAGGTTATGTTCTGGCTCTTCATCTGCAAATGTATTGGGTAATGTTGGAGTGCCATGAACGTATCGGAACAGGTCAGGCTGTATTTTTGGGGGTGCAGGATCTTTTAGTATGACTGTTGTTATCATAAGGGCTTAGGATATATTCTTCTTATATTTTTTTGCTGTTCTGAATGAGTAGCAATGGAGTCTTGGCATAGTGAACCTGTGATGGCTTCAGTGTCAATACTGCCAAGTTCTGATGGAGTTGTTACTTTTCC